ACAAAATAATTTTTATATATAAATTTTATGCAAATTTCTCCCGCTTCAAAATAAAATAAAATAATACTGGAGAAGGAGTAATAAAAAATTTCAACATTTTATGCAACAAATAAATATCGTACATACAATTCTTCATACTTTCCAAATTCCATTGCTCTGATGTGAACTCAATTTTTATTTCCGTTACGATAAATAAGTTATAAAATAGGCAGTAATGTGTTTCAATACGTAGTAATCACATTTTAGACGTTTTGTTTGAAAAGAGGTTGAACGAAAACATTTGGTTAAAGAAAGAAGAAAAAAAAAAGAAAAACACGTTCAGAGACACATGGGACTGCGGTAAGTGCGATTATCTTGAAGTCAGAATTTTGTTTCATAATTTTGTCCCTGTGGATTTACATCATGAAGTTTGCGATATAAAACGCGCTCTCGCGACGAACACGAGTGTCGCAATAAATTCGATCATTTTAAAGTTGCAGTTACGCTATGCCCCGGTACGTTTGTCCCTGGAAACTTTTATTCGAAAATTTATATTGCTAAATACGCCGGACAAACAGCATGTTGCCAGACAGCCTGCGATTATTTAGAAATGAAATGTGTTTTTTTGAGCGTACTCGAGTCTTTCACTAAATAAAACGAGGCAAATTAAAATGCCTAACGAATTTCGATATTTGCAGAATTATCACTTGACAATGAGTATCTTTATTTTTTTTCATTACTCCAATTTCATTGGTTTCGAAAACACTGTTATTAACGTTAACCCGTTTATTGAAGGATTAGTAAATATTCCTGTTTGTAATCTGTAATTTTTAATTTATTAAAAATGTAGTATAAAGGAAAAAATATGATAAACAGTTTTAAGTTGATTCTGTAGTAAAACACTTTAAATAAGGTTCATTTTCAATTGAATGTTCTATGTACTATGTATAAAAGAACTATTAATTATTGTTAAAAATTATCGATGAAAAATTAATTGAGCTGTGACTATAAAATTTTTTGAATTATTAAAATAAATTAAAATTTACAGATCTTTATTTAGAGAACAGCCTTTAATTTGCTTAGACGAGTAAAGTTACAGAATTGAAGGAGTCAATTGAATACAATATATTGCTGAAGATTGCACTCAAAATTCCTTTAATATAAAAAAATACTATGCAGTATAAAAGGTAACACAACGTGAAAACCGTGAAAAGATGGCGACGTCAACGTCGCACGCAGCAGGGCTGCCAACCTGGTTACTTTTCCCTAGCTTTATTTCAACCTCCAATAAATACATTTCTATTTTCTACATTGCTATTCTAATTTAAAAATGTAAGAATACGTTTGTATCAAATTTAAATAAATAAGTAACCTGCAATAAATTCATATTTCCGAGAAATTACTCTCAGAAAATTTGTCAAATTTTTCCTTCCTTAATTTTAATTTATTTGTTAATTCCAAACGCTTAGTCAAATTAAAGAAATTTCAATTTATACTTTTTTATACCTTTTCTGTAAAATCACACGCTAGAATACCATATTTCACAATGGAGTTACAATATTTGTCCAAAAGCTATTTCCAATACTACATTCCGATATAAAATTTATGCACTAAATTGTGAATTATAGTTCACATAATAATATATCAGTTTTATTATAGTTCACATAATAATATATCAGTTTTATTCGCAGCCAGTACGACCAAGCATACGAACTATTTTTCATTCTATTTTTCTTCAAATGGTGGCATAACGAACGAATATTTCCATGTCGGAAGTTATAGCGAAACAAATTCGGATTTGCACAGAGAATTAAACTAGACCAGACGATAACTATCAGTTCGGGGAAAATAAGCAGCTTGGGCAATTGCAACCCGATACATCGGCTATTACGCTCAAATTAATAATCAATGCTAATTGCCATTGTCATTAGGTGAACGACCATTATACGTCGCGAATAACTATGTCGTTCGATCTACTTTGTAGGCGGGATCGGTTAACCGGTGGCGAGAATTTTACAGAATCTGTTGCGAAATTTATTCCCGCCTGTTCCACGGGATTCGTTTGCTGCGAAAATATCGCATTTTATATTTCTGTCGACGGGAATCATTATTATTCGCGATATTGCGCGTATATCAATAATGCGACTATTTCGATTATTCCGTATAAACATTTATCTTTGATTTGCATGTAAATTGTTAACAACGGTTCCAATAATCCACATACGCCGTCGAGCTGACAGTTTGACGTGTATGTATATTATTTATCTTTTAATTGTAGTGAAATAAATCATCCTTCTTGAAATGATAATTCTTTTGTCTCTCTTTTTTCGCAATAAAAACGGTATTGTAATAATAAAACTCCATGCTTGAAATTTCACAAACAAGAATTTACAAAGTTTGGTAGATATGTTGCATCAACATCCCATTGTAACCTAACATAACCTAACTTAACCGCGTACAATAATACGCGAAAATGAGCGAAACTGAAGCATTTTAATAATAAACAACGATATCACTTTGTTTTCTTAAACATT